AACAAATTTTTTTTTTTTTTTTTTTTTTGGGGGGTACGGAGTTTCACTCATGTTACCCAGGCTGGAGTGCAATGGCGCGACCTCGGCTCACCGCAACCTCCGCCTCCTGGGTTCAGGCAATTCTCCTGCCTCAGCCTCCTGAGTAGCTGGGATTACAGGCACGTGCCACCATGCCCAGCTAATTTTTTTGTATTTTTAGTAGAGACGGGGTTTCACCATATTGACCAGGTTGGTCTCGATCTCTTGACCTCGTGATCCACCCGCCTCAGCCTCCCAAAGTGCTGGGATTACAGGCTTGAGCCACCGCGCCCGGCCTAAACAAAATTTTTTTTTTTTTTTTTGAGACAGTGTCTCATTTTGTTTGAGCAGTGTCTCAATGCGGAGTGCAGTGGCATAATCATAGGTCACTACTACAGCCTCGAACACTGGGGCTCAAGTGGTCCTCTGGTCTCAGCCTCTTGGGCAACCAGGACTCTACATGCATGGAGCACACAACCATGCCCAATGACTTAAAAAAATATTTTTAGACATGGGGTCTCCCTGGCTGGGAACGGTGGCTCATGCCTGTAACCCCAGCACTTTGGGAGCCCAGGGCAGGTAGATCTCTTGAGGCTAGGCGTTCAAGACAAGCCGGGCCAACATGGTAAAACCCCGTCTCTACTAAAAATACAAAAAGTAGCTGGTGTGATGGCACGCGCCTGTAATCCCAACAACTCAGGAAGCTGAGGCACCAGAATCTCTTGAACCTGGGAGGCAGAGGTTGCAGTGAGCCGAGATCACACCACTGCACTCCAGCCTGGGTGACAGAGTAAGACTGCTGCCAAAAAGAGAGAGAGAGAAAGAGAGAGAGATGGGGTCTCCCTATGTTGCCCAGGCTGGTCTCTTGGCATCAAGTGCTGAGATTACAGGCATGAGCCACCACACTTAATGGAAATATATACATTTTTATTTTTATTTTTTTCTTAGAGACAGGGTCTTGCTATGTTCCCCAGGCTGGAGTGCAGTGGCTATTCACAGGCACGATCCCACTACTCATCAGCACAGGAGTTTTGACCTGCTCCGTTTCAGACCTGGGCCGGTTCACCCCTCCTTAGGCAACCTGGTGGTCCCCCACACCCAGGAGGTCACCATATTGATGCAGAATTTAGTGCGGACACCCAATCGGCACAGTGTACTACAGCCCAGAACTCCTGGACTGAAGCGATCCTCCAGCCTCAGCCTCCCGAGTAGCTGGGACTACAGGCACATGCCACTGAGCCAGGCATATATATACATATATTTTTATTATTGTGTAAATGCTTTTTGAACAAAGGAATGTTAGAAGACACACGATTAGGCAGATGATTTTATAGTATAGTCCATGGATTCAACATAGCACCTACTATTATTGCTTATTTGGTATTCAAAACCAGAAAAGGATACTGAAAGGGCAGAGGGTGAAAAGAATTTGTTAGAAGGCCGGGCGCAGTGGCTCATGCCTGTAATACAAGCACTTTGGGAGGCCGAGGCGGGTGGATCACGAGGTCAAGAGATCGAGACCATCCTGGTCAACATGGTGAAACCTCGTCTCTACTAAAAATACAAAAAATTAGCTGGGCATGGTGGCGCGTGCCTGTAATCCCAGCTACTCAGGAGGCTGAGGCAGGAGAATTGCCTGAACCCAGGAGATGGAGGTTGCGGTGAGCTGAGATCATGCCATTGCACTCAAGCCTGGGTAACAAGAGCGAAACACTGTCTCAGGAAAAAAAAAAAAAAGAAGAATTTGTTAGAAATACAGAAGAGCAGGCTCTACTTCAGTCTGACTGAATCTGAAGCAGCAGTTTAACAAGATCTCCAGGTGATCTGCATCACATCAAAGCTAACAAAGCACTGGCAAGGAGTAACAATGAAGGTTAGAAGTTATTCCAAAGTTAACAGAATAGTCAATAAAGGGTGCATAGAGGAAAAAAAATAAGCCTTGAAATCAAAAACACATACCAAAGAAATAAAAACTGAAAAATAACCTGCCCAGTTTAGTCAGATGTTTACAGGGCCTTAGAAAAACCTGGGACCCCTTCCTGTCACCTTACACTAAACTAAAATTAACTCCAGATGGATTAAAGATTTAAACATAAGACCTAACACTATAAAAACCCTAGAAGAAAACCTAGGCAAAACCATCCAGGACATAGACATAGGCAAGGACTTCATGACTAAAACACCAAAAGCAATGGCAACAAAAGCCAAAATAGACAAACGGGATCTAATTAAACTTCAGAGCTTCTGTACAGCAAAAGAAACAACCATTAGAGTGAAATGACAACCAACAGAACGGCAAAAAATTTTTGCAAGCTACCCATCTGACAAAGGGCTAATATTCAGAATCTACAAAGAACTAAAGCAGATTTACAAGAAAAAAACAAACCCACTGAAAAGTGGGTGAAGGATATGAACAGACACGTCTCAAAAGAAGGCATACATGAGGCCAACAAACGTATGAAAAAATGCTCATCACTGGGCATTAGAGAAATGCAAATCAAAACCACACTGAGATACCATGTCACGACAGTTAGAATAGCGATCATCAAAAAATCTGGGGACAACAGATGCTGGAGAGGATGTGGAGAAACAGGAACACTTTTACACTGTTAGTGGGAGTGTAAATAAGTTCAACGATTGTGGAAGACAGTGTGGCAATTCCTCAGGGATCTAGAAATAGAAATTCCATTTGACCCAGCAATCCCATTACTGGGTATACTGTATACCCAGAGGATTATAGATCGTTCTACTATGAAGACATACAAACATGTATGTTCATCCCAGCACTATTTACAATAACAAAGACCTGGAACCAACCCAAATGCCCATCAATGATAGACTGGACAAAGAAAATGTGGCACATATACACCATGGATTACTACGTAGCCATAAAGAAAACAATGGGTTGGGCCGGGCGCGGTGGCTCAAGCCTGTAATCCCAGCACTTTGGGAGGCCGAGGCGGGTGGATCACGAGGTCAAGAGATCGAGACCATCCTGGTCAACATGGTGAAACCCCGTCTCTACTAAAAATACAAAAATTAGCTGGGCATGATGGTGCGTGCCTGTAGTCCCAGCTACTCGGGAGGCTGAGGCCGGAGAATTGCTTGAACCCAGGAGGCGGAGGTTGCGGTGAGCCGAGGTCGCGCCATTGCACTCCAGCCTGGGCAACAACAGCAAAACTCCGTCTCAAAAAAAAAAAAAAAAAAGAAAACAATGAGTTTGTGTCCTTTGTAGGGACTTGGATGAATCTAGAAACCATCATTCTCAGCAAACTGACACAAGAACGGAAAATCAAGGCCGAGCGCGGTGGCTCACGCCTGTAATCCCGGTACTTTGGGAGGCCGAGGCGGGTGGATCACTTGAGGTCAGGAGTTCGAGACCAGCTTGGCCAACATAGTGAAACCCCATCTCAAAAAAAAGTAAAAAATCAAAAATAAAAAATAAAATAAAAAAAGAACAGAAAATCAAACACTGCAAGTTCTCACTCATAAGAGGGTGTTGAACAATGAGAACACGTGGACACAGGGAGAGGAGCATTACACACTGGGGCCAGTTGGAGGAGGCTAGCGGAGAAACAGCAGGGGGTGGGAAGGGATAACATGGGGAGAAGTGCCAAATATAGATAATAGGGGAATGGAAGCAGCAAACTATCTTGCCATGTAAGTACCTATGCAACAACCCTGCATCATCTGCACATGTACAGCAGAACCTAAAGTATGATTAAAAAAAAAAAAAGAAATAAAGAAAAAAGAAAAGAAAAACCTGACAACAAGTAATGTCAAGATTTAGGGCCAGGAACAGTGGCTCATACCTGTAATCTCAGCACTTTGGGAAGCCAAGGCAGGCAGATTGCCTGAGCTCAGGAGTTCTTTTTTTTTTTTTTTTTTGAGCTCAGGAGTTCTTAATTAGCCTGGGCAACACGGTAAAACCCCCAACTC